ACTGCACTCCAGTCTGGGTGACTGAGTGAGACTCCAGCTCAAAAAAAAAAGAAAAAAAAAAGAAAAATATTGTTTATTTAGAAAGTAAATTAGAGATAGAGAAAGAGACAGAGAGAGAGAGAGAGAGAGAGAGAGATAGGAGATTCACCTCCCCAAGGTAGGAAAGGGGGGCCAAAGCTAAGAAAACATAGCTCAAAGAGCACACGGCCTAGCCAGTGTTTAACAAAACAATGGCTAGAGCATAAATTAGAGAGAGAGAGAGAGAGAGAAGGGGGCCAAATCTAGGAAACATGGCCTGGCCTATGCTTAGCAAAACAATGGCCTCTACTTCGTTTTATCCTTATAACTACCACTCTTTTAGTTCCAATGTTATAATTTCCTAACTGGTCTTCTTGCATATATTCTGCTGCCCTCTTGTCCATTCCTGACACAGCGGCCAGAGTGACCTTTCTTTTTTTTTCGAATTGGAGTCTCACTCTGTTGCCTAGGCTGGAGCGCTGTGGCAAGCTCAGGGTCACCGCAGCCTTGACCTGCTGGGCTCAGGTGATCCTTCCACCTCAGCCTTCCAAGTAGTCGGAGCTACAGGTGTGTGCGAATTTTTTGATTTATTGTAGAGACGAGGTCTGGCCAAGTTGCCCAGGCTGGTCTTGAACCCCCTGGACTCAGGCAATCCTCTTGCCTCAGCCTCCCAAAATGCTAGGATTACAGGCTTAAGACACTGCACCCGGGACAGAGTGACCTTTCTAAAACACAAATACGAGCCGGGCTTGGTGGCTCAGCCTGTAATCTCGCGGCTTGGGAAGCTGAGGTGAGTGAATTGCCTGAGCCCGCAGGTTCAAGACCCATCTGGGCAACTTGGCGAGACCTCATCTCCACAATAAATAAATAAATAAATCAACTGGGTGTGGTAGCGTGCACCTGTAGTTCCGGCTACTCGGAAGGCTAAGACGGAAGGATCGCCGGAGCCAGCAGATGGAGGCTGCGGTGGCTGGGAGCGGCCACAGCACTCCAGTCTGGGCGACAGAGTGAGACTCCAACTCATATATAAAAAAAATAAAACACAAATATGCCTTGCCACTACTCTGACTTAAACTTTTTTTTTTTTGAGTTGGAGTTTCACTCTGTCACCCAGACTGGAGTGCAGTGGCCGCTCCCGGCCACCACAGCCTTGACCTGCTGGGCTCCGGCGATCCTTCCGCCTCAGACTTCCAAGTAGCTGGAATTACAGGTGCGCGCTACCACGCCTGGCTGATTTTTTTATTTATTGTAGAGATGAGGTCTCGCCAAGTTTGCCTAGGTGGATCTCGAACCTGCGGGCTCAGGCAATCCACTCACCTCAGCCTCCCAAGGCGTGGGATTATAGGCTGAGCCACGAGCCCGTCTGACTTAAACTTTTCAAAGGTTTCTCATGTTCTTCATAGTAAAGTCTAGATTTTACAATGTAATTTACAGAGACTTCCCCCTTTACCCTAGCCTTTTAACACTCCTCACCACAAACTCCACACTGCAGCCTTATACTAATTCCTCACAATCTTTTTTTTCTTTTTGAGTTGGAGTCTCACTCTGTCACCCAGACTGGAGTGCAGTGGCCACTCCCGGCCATGGCAGCCTCGACCAGCTGGGCTCCGGCAATCCTTCGCCTCAGCCTTCCAAGTAGCTGGAACTACAGGCGTGCGCTACCACGCCCAGCCAATTTTTAAAAATTTATTGTGGAGATGAGGTCTCACCAAGTTGCCCAGGTGGGTCACGACCCCACCGGCTCAGGCGATCCACTCACCTCAGCCTCCCAAAGGCGCAGGATTACAGGCTGAGCCACTGAGCCTCGCTCCTCACGTTCTTAAAGTGAATTGTGATCTCTGATCCCTTGCATATTTCCTTCGCGGAACACCTCCCTGCTCTGCTCTCTCCAGTCTTAGATAACTCACACTCATCTGAGATCTCAGCTGAAAGGTCATTTGCACAAGAAAGCCTCTCTTCACCCTTTTTTTTTTTTTTTTTTGAGTCGGAGTCTCACTCTGTCATCCAGGCGGGAGTGCAGGGGCATGCTCACGGCCATTGCAGTCTTGACCTGTTGGGCTCAGGCGATCCTTCTGCCTCAGCCTTCCAAGTAGCTGGAACCACAGGCATGTACCATCATGCCTGGCTAATTTTTTTTATTGTAGAGAAGAGATCTTGCCAAGTTGCTCAGGCTGGTCTTGAATCCTTGAACTCAGGCAATCCTCTGGCCTCAGCCTCCCAAAGTGCTGGAATTACAGGCATGAGCCACCATACCGGGCTCTCTTCACCCTTTAAGAAGAGCCCTGACTAGGAGATCCCATGGCAAGATTTACCTCTCCCAATCATAACTTTCACCACACTTCAAAGATTACTTGATTTTCTGACTTCCAGGAAGTCTATGTGGTCTGCCAAGGTAGAAGCCCCTATCTGTTTTGTTGATAACTGTACCTTCAGCTCCTTGTACAGTTTCTGGCACAAAGTAACCTTTCTGTGACTCAGTTCCTTTATTGGTAAAATGAGGATGAGAGAACTTATGTCACAGCTTTTTCTTTGCTTTTTATGTAACAACAGCCATTTCATTATAGCTCACACTTTTTTTTTTTTGAGTTGGAGTCTCACTCTGTCACCCAGACCGGAGTGCAGTAGCCGCTC